CTTCTCATAAGAGGCCCTGCCTAGTCTTGTGCCCCTACACCGTGCCTACCACCAGGGCTGCTGCTCAGGCCCAACATATAGTCCCACCTATTCTCTAAAACAAATGTGTCAACTACCTACAAACCACCGGGGAATCACGTGCATTTACCCTCAAGGGGTAAAGGTCTGGCAAAGGAAATCCACCAATCCTGACCATGGTGTGCTGCATAGTCAGAACTCATCCCTGCACTTTGCTAAAGGCCAGCAAGGGACAGCCTGGGGCAGATTCTGGGCAGCTTTCTCCTCAGTACACCTAGAGAAGGTACAAGAGAGAGCAAATGCTCACTTGAGGGTTGTCACACCCATGCTCCAGCCTTGTGGCTGTGATGCCTCAGGTTTTAGCTTTTATATTTTTCAGATTCTGTACTGCTTTAGTGTGTACTTCTGAGCTTCATATTAGGGGATGCTGAGCTCTCTTCACAGAATAGGGAGGCAAAACAATTCCTTCTCCAGCTGGTGACCAAGGACAAATGATCCAAATCCAAATGATCCAGGCCCAAGAGCATAAACAACATGGACTGAAGAGGGAAAAACAAGAAGGATGGGACTTCATAACCTAAAGCTATAATTGGACAATTAATTCCAATATGCTAATGGACCAACATTTATAAAAGTGAGAGACCTAGTGAGTGGTCATGCATTTTGTGACCATTTTGGTTCATCTTGGGTGTAGCCCTGGGCTCTTGTGCTGCCCAAGGTGGATCCTATTGAGGCCTTTTAATAAATACCTACTTTATTCTTTATCTCTGTCTAGTCTCTGTTCTAGGTCAGCCTTCACAAGGCATCAGCTGTGCTGCAAAAAAAAAAAAAAATAGGTGGGGAGCACTTAGCTGAGGGGGCCAGACCTTGCCATGGCTTCATGGGTGAGTCACTGTGACCTGTGGAGACATGAGCTGTGGACATGAATGACTGCTGCCTGTAGGGCAGGAACCCCCAGCACAGCTGAGATCTCTACTGGGCAATTGCTCTTACCTTTGAGCAGTGTTATGATGTTTGGGAAGGCTCCACAGGAGAGGCACTGAAATCTTCCTCCCCAAATGTCACAGAAGAGCTGTTCTAGCTCTCAATCAGGACAAAGGACCCTAATTAAAATCTTCAGTGTCTTTGATGAGAATCCATCACTGGCACCCGCCTGTCCTTCTGAAGGCGGAGACATCCACATCAGCAGCACACACAGATGTAAAGCTGCTCTAAAATTTAACAAATATAACCAGGCAAGGGTCTAACAGGTACTAGTTTACAGATTTTTTTTCTTTATTTTTTTTTGTGTATCAGAAATTTAAATCACTCAAAATGCCACAATTAAATCCCATTAATCATTTACGTTGGATAATCTGGCTGTATTTTAATTAAACATTAAATTATCCAATTTATACAATTCAAGCACAGGAAAATTCAGAACAGTGGATTTAACATGCCCCTGTGTGGTGCTTCATGATTCATTTTTCAAGTCACCTAAGTGTTGGTATTGTTATGAACAAAACAGCCTTGCTGGGACACTTGAACTTGAGCTAAGTACTGACATTGAAATGTTAATTAGCTAATTGCTCCTGGGAATCACCTACACCCCCCCCACACACTGCCATTCTAGAACTGGGATGCAAATAGAAGGACCAATGGAATCATGGGAGGGGGTTTTGGGGATGAAAACAGCCCTAAATGCAGGGCTGGGCACAGAGGAGGGGGCTGGAGGGGTGTGCTGGTTGGGGAAAAGGGAACCACATCCCTGGTCTATGTCTGACCTGTCACCATAGCCTGCAGAGGACCAGACTGGACTGGGCTGTGGGAAGCAGGAGCAAAGGAGCAACTCTTCCTGGTGTTACCAGGAGGGAAGGAGAGGGGACAGCTGCTGCTGGACTTCAGCAACAGACCCTGGCTGGTCCCCCCACCCTTCGGCTACCAGTGAGCAACAGGAGGAAAGGAGAGAGGATGGTCTGCTGATCGGGACTTCAGATACAGACTGCACACCTCTTCGCCTGCAGCTACCAGTGTGCCACAGAGACTTCAGGGACAGACTCTGCAGCCTTCTCACCCTTCAGCTACTGGGAAAGCTACAACAGCGGGGGCGAGCTCCTTGTCGAGCTCTCTGCCCAGCTGATCTTTTTAATAAAGAGCTGAACATTAATAAAGGCATAAGCTCTGTTCGTTACAGGTACCAACTAGAATCACAAAGCAGCTACCATTGTCCCAGGAAACTGTTGGGGAAATTGCATTTATCTGCTACAAGATCTTTGGTTTTTGGGGAAGCAGAACATAAGATAACATTATTGAGAGACGAAATATGGAAGAAGGATTGCTCCAGAGTGTTGATTTTCCACAACAATTTGTCACCCATTGCCTGCTGTGAGTAGTCTGTATAATTATCTTGTTGTCACCACCCGTGAGCCACCAGAATTATTTGGCCTTTGTCACCACTAGATACTTACTCACTTGCCAGGGCCCTCCACAGACCCTGGAAGATGTGGCCCAGGAGGATGTGGTCGTGCAACCTTTTGTGTGGTTGGAAAGGGTGGAGTGAATACCAGGGGGCAGTGTGCCAGGACATGCTGTGCTGGTCCTGAGACAAGAATCCTCCTGGAGGGACCATGTGAGAGATCTGCCCAGAGCAGAAACCCTGCTGCTGCCACACTCCCTCCACATGTACCCACACACCCTCCTGCTGTCAGCAAAACCTAGCATTTAGAACAGTCTTACGCAAATTTTTTTCAGCGAGTAGTTCATGCACTTGACTGTTCATTAAAGATGTTCTGGTGAGATCCTTTAATTAGCAAGTGTTCCTCATTGCATTGATTATCTGTCATGTACAGATCTAAAATCCCTCACCTGAAGTCTCTCCATCTCCATGTTGGGATGGGGTTGCAGCATCCCTGCACAGCTGAGAAGGAACGGCACATGACATGGAAGTTTTCTGACAGCTTCAGAGCACAGGTTTCAGTGTGTGTAAAAGCAAACAAGCAGAAGACCTGAGACTTACAGAAAAACAAGGGAGAGACAAAACATATAATAACAATTTCAAAGTTAAAAATGAAAACAAAAAAAGCCTTTTTTTTTTGGATACATGCACCCCCACAAGCTACATTATCACTGGAAGAGCCCCCACCTGACAATCACACCAGCAGGTATATTTGATCTCCCCATCACAGGTTTTCTCCACAACTTTTCATATACTCCCATATTTTCAAGGGAAGAATAAAGTATAATGACAACTGTGGCTCTCTGGGGTCTCTAGGATGTGTGTGATCATGTGAACAGATGTGTACACACATCTGTCTTTCTGTCGTTCTGCTTCACCTGCACAAGACTTGGTGCTCTTTTGTGTGCCTTTTACTAAGAAAAAGCCTCTGATGCCTTTTCCGCCCCTGAAATGGAGACAAAGCCAAGTGCAGCTGTTGGCATGTAGCTATCCTAATGATACTGTGAGACTGGGGGGAAAGGCATCCAAGAGACATCTGCTCCTTTATCACATGACAGGCTCTGCTTTTGGAATTCACAATTTGTCTGCCACAGTATCACACACCCTTCAGTAGCTCAAAGTTAAATGGTATTTCTGAAGGGCTGATTGTGGTTTGCGTTTCTTCCTTGGAAGATGTTTCTTCTTTGGAATTTGTGTCTTTCCAGGGCTCTCATGGATCCAGCACCTTGGATGCTGACTGGGAAGAGCACCAGGCACCCTCCGCACCAGTGATGAAACTCTTCACGGGGCTCACCAGAAGAAAGTGTCATGAGTGTCTCTGCAGAGAAAACAGCAAGAACCACACTGTTCACAGTGCTTACTCACACATTGCCTAACATGTTCATCTCTGAATTATCACTCAGATGAACTATTGAAGACTCACTGTTATTCAGACAATAAAGAGCTGTGCTGAGGTGGCATGCCTTAGGACTCCTCAGCATTGGCTCTGAACTATGTCACTTCCCAAGTGCCACAGCCTCTGGGTAGCTGCTCTTATTTTCAGCAATCACAGGATGGGAGGAGCTGGCCTTCTCCTCAAAGCACAGTCTGTGAGGCATGCACGGGTCCCTAAAGGCACTATGGCTGATCCCATGGATGCTGTGCCCCAGACCTGGCTGTGTGGGGCAGCATGGAACAGATGCAGATGAGCAGCTCAGGTCTAGAAACCAGGCTGCCCTGTCACAGGGGTTTGTGCCTGAACACCACAGCCAGCCTTGCTTCTGACCTTAGGCAGGGAAGACTGCAAGCCCCTACAGCTCAGGGAGATGCCAGTTCTGACCTGGGCTCCCCCAGAGCAGACTGCCCAGTACCAGTCAAAAAGGGTGGTCTGTTTGCTGGGGCAGAGCTTCTGCATGTGTGCTGTCCTATGGGCAGCCTGCCTGCACAGCTCCATCTGGTTTGGGAAACAAAGCAGCCAGCCCATCTCAGTCTCCAACCATTTCCAAGGAACTATCTTCACTTCTTAAGTCCAAACCTAAGCAAAACACTACCACAGACACTATTTGTAAGACAAAACCATACCTGAGTTGGGATTTGAGGACTCACACAAAGCTTCCAGCAGGTGTTTCCACAAGACAGCCCCAGGCAGGGCTTCTGGAGGCACCACCACAGTTAATGGTTACATCTCAGGAGAAGCAAAGGGGCTGTGGGAACAACCTGACTTTGGCTGAGTTTCAGAAAATTAAATCAGTTCTTCAAAGTCACATAGTTTAAAAAATTGTAAATTTTTATCGTTGTTCCTGAAGGGAGAAATTTGAAGAGGGAGAATAGTCTGCTTTCATATCTAACAAGTTTTGGGTCTAGGAGTGTTGGGACATCTGCTGACACTAATTCCTGCGATTAAGCAGCTGTGGGCTATACTTCAAGTATAGGTCCTTATCCTCATTTTTTGTAGTTGGCTTGGTTTTTTGGTCAGGATATGTTTTAAATAGGGACAGATGAAAGAAAGAGACGGCATATTCACTTATTTATTTTCTGATAGATCATGAAAAAAAAAAAAGAAGAATGATTAAACCAACAAACTTTCTTTAATAAATTAATAGCAGCATCACAAAACCCTGATGTGAATGACCCAAAGAAAGTTGGGTATGTGACAGTATTTAACCATTCAGAGAAATCCTCTCCTCTGCTGGCTGGGAATAATGCAGGTGCTGTAAGGCAGTCAATCCCCTTGGCTCTTCATCCAGACAAGAGATGGACATCAGAACGGGTCCGGCTGAGGTTGGCATATTTACAGTTCTGGTGCTGATTTTTTTTAAAAACACTTATAAAAACTCTGAAAATTCTCTGTTCAATTCTCATTATTTACATTGAAATATAGCAGGTTCCCTTTTTGCCCATACAACAGAACAGGCAAGGGTGAGACATAAGGGCTCCCATGTGAAGACAATGCCTGTGTGAACACTTACACTGAGCTCCAGGTGGAAAATGAGCTATTCACACAACTTACACATGTGCTAGAAGCTACTGTAATTCAGCTTATTGCTAAATGCTTTCAAAGTCTGTGGTTGGTTCTTAAAGATATATATATGTGTGTGTGTGTGTATATATATATAAGCACAAACTCACACAAATGTGTGAGTTTGTATTTATATATATATGTGTCTATACTTATATGTGTCTGTACTTATATATATCTATATGTCTATATATATACACACATATTCACATTTGGAAGAGAGGGGGAAAAAATTAAAATGCACTGTGATTTTTCTGATTTTTTCTGTACTTTTTGAGAAAATAAAATCTGACTCGGGGTAAAGGGCAGTTGCTGAAGGTGCAACTGTGTCTCTGGCCAGTGATTTTCCTGCTGACTACCTGACCTTTTGGGAGAGGCAAGTGGATTCCCAAGCATTCAAGCCCATGGTGGTATCTGCAGGCTGGCACATGGAGCAGGTCTGCTGCCTTCTGCCACTGGGATACCTCTTCTGCCTTCAGGAAGTACTATGGATTTATCCCAGGAGGGGATGAGGGAGAAAAGATGATCAACTTCAGTGCATCATTCTGGGATCAACCCAGCAGCAGATACAACCCAGATGTTGTGTTTTAGTAGTGGCCTCAGCAAGGTTGTAGCTGCACACAGCCATGCAATAGCACAACACCACCTCAAGCACTGGCAGAATTTTCTATTTCTTCTACAAATTAGTTTTAATGGAATGAACACAGCAAGCTGAGTGGACAAGCAATTCATGTAAATAAAATGTGATTTATCCATGCCTAGTGTAAGCTTCTCTGTTCTGACAATTATCTTAGCCAGAGGCTGTCAGTGATGCTAAATGCATCTATGTTAGATGGGCACTGTAGCATCTGTGTAGCAGTTAATGAAGATTAAAAAAAAACCTTATGGGTGATATCTGGCATTCAACAATACTCCACATTAGGAAATCTGCATGAGAGGCATCACCCCAGAGGCACAGTGCCAGAAAGACAGAGTGCCTTGGAGGGTTTGTGTACACAGGAATGCAGAGGAAAATTGATTCATATTATACATGGTGTGTATTAAAAGCAGATTACTTAAAATACATTCAATCCCAATGTGGATGCTTTCATTAAAGATGCAAGTGGTGTTAATATGATATGTTAATATGTTACTTTGGGAGTAAAATGGAATAAATCAAAATTTAAAGTTACTCCAGATTCATACTCTATGCAGACTAGCACCAGGTCTGCTTCCCTGCTGTCCATAGTCATAATTTGCCTTAGAACCGTGTCACTAGCAAATGATTCCCATCACATGCTCTGTTCATCTCTGCCCACCCCCTGCTGAGACAGGAGCAGGGACCCTCTCTTATGCCTCTCTCCAGCATTCCCCAGGCAGGCACATCCTGCTCCTCACAGCTTGATCCTGGCCAGCACCACACACAGAGAACCTTCTACTCTGTGCCCAAAACAAGTGTTTTGTCACCAGTATTGTGCTGGAAAATAAAAGCAAATGCTAACCCAGCTAAAGAATAACTAGATGTGAGGAGTGAGAAGAGCAGAGATTTGGCTCTTCCAAAGCCAGACCAGATAAGCCAAAGCCCCTGGTCCTCCAGCAAACTGTGAAGGCAGTGCTGGCCACGCTGAGCACAGCCTGCTCTATCCCAGAGCTGATGGTTGTCTGCAAGACCAGAGGAGGGCTTTTAATGAGTCCTAGGCCTTCCATTTACTCAGTGTTTGAAGTAGATAACTGGGGGTTGCTCTGCTTCTCACAATTCTCCTCCAAGTCTGAGATTGATCCCAGGCAGGACTGCAAAACCACATTCCCTGCCCTTTCTTAGGGGAGCCAAAGCCTCCTGAGGAATGGAAAAAAACCAGCAGGATTGGAGAGGGAGCCAGAATCTGACAAAGGTCCCTTGAAGTGCAAGACTGACACAGTATGGCAGAAGCCATTACACATAACAGGACATGTCTGGCCAGTGCCTGCACGGCCACTACGCTGTTGTGATGTCTCTCTGCCAGGTTTCTGTAAAGTCTTTACACGGCACAAATAGGGGTGAGGATTTAAAGTATATATTTACTGTCAACTTGAAAAAGAAAGTTATACTGACCAAGTCTAATAGCATGTATTTGATATATAACTATTAACGTGCCATTCTGGACTCCAGCAAATTCCACCTGAGATAAATATTCAGCATTTTTGTTCATGCACTGGAAGAAGAATTCAAACATTTTGTCCATGACATATGCAAAGTAACTAATAGTTCTGATCTAGTATTAACAGTAAATATAGAACCTTAAACTTCACTGCAGTATATTAATATATATTATTTTAAGTACTGGACTGGAAAGACAATTCTTTTTTCTCTTTAAAAAAACCCAAAAGCTTTTTCAGAATGCAATATTTACATTGTCCTTTGACTGACACTTACATTTTTACACAATATATTTTGGCTACAGATACACTGTAGCAAAGGTCTGTGAGAGTCTCTTTTACACACAGCTCACTCGTTCACTTACAACATTACAGCTGTTTATGGAGAGCTCTGAAGTCCCTGGTTGCATCTCAAGGCCCTCCTCAGCTTCATCTAGTTCCATACTATTGAATTCATTGCCATTTCGATAACTAGTTAAAGTCAGGTCTTTGCCATACAAAGCTGTTGAAGCCACGTTCAGACACTGATTCTGCCGCAATGCTGATTTTTTACCAGGTCTATATTGGCAGCGGATGTAATTGGAGAAAGCCCTGCGGTAGGTTTTGTTGAAGAGGGTGTACACCAGGGGATTGACCCCTGAGCACACGTACCCAACCCAAACAAACACGTCAAGGAGCTCACTCAACAGGTCTTTATCGCAGGCTTCCTTGCAAAGGACAGACATGACATTAGTGATGAAAAACGGACACCACATGATGAGGAACAAAAAGAAGACAATGCCCAGGACCTTGGAGGCTCTTCGCTCATTGTTGATGGATTGCATCGTTCCTTTCCGGAAAAGCACTGCCTCCTTATTTACAGGGGAGTTCAAGTGGGAGGCCCCCTCATGATTGTGAAGCATTGAAATGTTCTCTGTGTTGTTTTCCTTCTTGAGGCAGTTCACGCTGCTCCTCCTCTGCTTGGGCACCTCTCCACACATGAACACCGTGGCCTGTCTCTGCAGCACCTGAACAGTCAGGCAATATGTGATCACCATGATGATGAGAGGGATGAAGAAAGCCATGAAGGATCCAATGAGGACGAAGTTCTCATCGTTAAGGACGCAGGTCCCATTTACAAACACCCGGGAATCATCCTGCAAACCAATAACCGGAATAGGCATAGATATCCCTAGGAAAATGAAACCAAAAAGGAGACTGTTACCTTTGGATACAGGGCTCCAAAGAGGCAGCAGAGACAATTCAGGTCCTGCATGCATTCAGCCCACTGCCTAAAGCTGCTTGAAAGAGAAGTTACTGCTTCCAAGTGAAAGGGAAAACATTCATCAACACTCCTGGGAACACAGCTCCAGGGTAGAACACCCTTCTCCAGCAACAGCAGCAGCTTTGCTGTGTTCCACAGCTGACTCAATGAATGCAGCCTAACTCCTACTTTTCTAGCATTAACTGGAATTCGTGGGTGTAGGAAAGCTGGAACACACCACTGCTGTGTTCCAGCTGACCTCTTCATACCTGCTAGTTTGCAGTGGGGATGTGGGGGGTTGAAAGGGTAGAAAAGAGCAAATTTAAAGAAAAAAATTTTTGAAATATGAAAGCACTACAGCTATGAAGATTCAAAAGCAAGATTCTTACAGTAATTAAAATAATCCTGACAGAAAATAGCCATTTTTTCCATGGCATCATAGACACATGGAAGCAAAATTCTGGATCTCAGGGCTGTTGCAGACAATCTCAGTGCAAACAGAAAGTGGTCTCTGCAAGACATCACTCAAATATTTTTCACATGTACTGAGATCCAAAATTCATCCCTTGATCTGTGAAGCTCAATCTCACATCAGGACAGACCCAAAACCTTCCAGAAGCAAAAACACATTTTTGAATGTCACAACCTGTGTGCACAGGAAAACATGTGATGGGCCAGATGTAGTTAAAGCATTATGGGTTCATCTAGTCCTGTCTTGTGTCTTTGGCAAGTACCAGAAGTTTAGGGCCATGGTACAAAATCGGTACAAAATGGGGCAGTTATAAGCATTATACCACAGAAAGCTCCAAAGCAAGAATTTGCATCCAAATCCCATTTTAAAAATAACCTTTGAGAGATTTATCTTAATGATAAATCTTACAAATCCTTGATCTCATTTATAACTCTACAATACCCAGTGGCATTCAGTTCCTCAACCTCTCTTTCATCTGAACAAAGTGTTTCTTGCTCATTTAAATTTGCTGCCTGATAATTTCCTTTGCCTCCCCTCCATATGTCTACTGTGAGAAGCAGTGAATAATCACTATCTGGTCACCTTTTCCACCTTCTTAATGATTTTATAGATCTGGTATCATCTTTCCTGTCTGACATCTCTTTTGGAGCTGAAGAATGCCATTCTATTTACTCTCTCTACTCATGCCAAATTCATTCTATGCCTTTGATTATTTATTTCTCTTTAAGTTCCTTTTTGCCCTTTTAAAGAAAAAAAAACAACAAACAAACAAACAAACAAACCCCCCCCCAAAAAAAAAAAAAAAACCAAACCCACACCAAAAACCTACACATCCGAGCAGCTAGAAAGCAACAGAATGGATTCTGTGCTCCCCTCTGGATACCTGGCAGTCATGGAGCACCACTCCTCAGTGGTCTGTGTGTCTGTGGCTGACCATGCCCACCTCGAGCTCCTCCACCCTAGAAATAACCAACACTGAGGCCACTGTTGTGCCTGGATTGCTTTTTTGGAGTTGCTGTGAACATCAGAAGTCATAAAGCTAATCCTGTGGGACTCTGAATTTCTTAACATGAAGAAATACATGCTAAAGCAATTAACGAGGGCATTTTTACCACTTTAGCTAAGTTTTTTTCAGGATTCTGGGGAATTCATCTGCAATTTGTCATTACCAGAAAATTACCATTTGGCAGTAATCAAGTGATGGAATTTCTTCTGAAAAATTAAGGACTAGAAATGCATTCTGTGACTGTAGCATGCATTTCTTAGCTCAAGTACTAGTTCCAGGATTTGCTCTTCTTTCCCACTACATGACAATGCTTATCAGTTCACCTTTGGCAGGGCAGCTGCCTCCTTTCTGATATGTTATCTTGTTTGTGCCAATTCCCTGCCACTGCAATAACCTTCACCTCTTAAATCCATCATTAAAGACATCATCTGTTGGGAAGGATGGATAAATATAATTGCCTGGCAAAAGATTTACAATAGTACATCCAGGATGAAAACAATCCCCCCTACTGGCTGGATAATACCCTTACCTACAGATAGGTCCAAAAGTCAAATGGACTGTTCCCTCTCAACCCCCAAAATGTATGGTTCATCCCACACCTGTAACCCTTCCCTGAAACATCAAGTGTCTGTGACCCCATTGGCCCAAGTCTTGTTTCAGCCCACCTCGAAGCCCCCTGATAAGGGGTCTCCGAGGGGCCAGACACCCTCTTAGATCCTCCCCTCTCTTGGAACTTCCCCTCTCTTGGAACTTCCCCTCTCTTGGAACTCCCCCCTCTTAGATCTTCCACCCTCTCCTAGAACATCCTCTCTCCCCTCCCCCATCACCTCAGGACTTGCCACATGCTGTGTCTGGCAGCTCCAAGCAAGACCTTTCACCATCCCTAACAAACCCTATATTCTAAGAGCAACCTTCAGAGATCTCTTGTCTCCGTTCATCAAAACCGTCCTGGAGAACAGTGCTCCCTACAATCATCCTAATGCCTTGGCTCCATCAACCACAGACATTTGGGAAATGGTGGAAGTCAGACTGAGCACTCTCTACATGAAGAAGAAATCTGAATTAGGTCAATGGCATTACACTGGGATTATATTTGCATGTATAATTTTATGCTTTAGTGCCCTCTATAACACCTACCCTTTGAAATTAAACTCCAAAATGAATGAAAGTTCATTCATGAACTTTCATGAAGTAGTCATCATTTAAGTTGGTGTTATTGCTTTAGCCAAGGGAAATGAGATGAGGTTTTGGGATATCTTCACACATAAACTGACATTTATGTGACACACATAAGGTGCATTTAGGAAGAATAACCTAGTTCTGGGATATGATGGATAAACAAATCAAGAGCACTGATTGCAGCCTAAAACTCTGCATGAGCATGAGATAGCTCAGCGTTAATGACAGGGAATGAGGGGGTAGCTGCTGGAAAAGTGGAAAAATGGAAAAGTGTCTCTCACCTCTTGCATAAGAAAGTGAGATTTCAAACTGAGAATGCACAGAAGAAAGAGAGCACTGAGTCTTTATTTGCACTTTCTTCCAGTCTGGGAAAATCCTATCATTAACAGCAGTGGAAAGAAAGATGCCCTCAGATAAGCTGGCAATATGCTTTGATTCAGCTGTCAGCTGGACTCAGCACTGCTCAGGGGGCAGCACTACCCTTATGTCAAATACCTTTTTTCACTCACATCTACTCTTTGAAACTTGTTCTTTAATATATGACTTATGACCAATCCACTGCACAATTGAGTCTGAATGGGAACTAATTCTGTTCATACCTTGGGCAACAGCGACTGACAGTGAGAAATGTGAAAGGTCTCAGACACCTCAGAGGGGCTTCCTTCATGGGGGATTACTGCAAAATTACTGCTGCCACAATCCCAAATGCACTAATATTTGATTGCAGACACAGCTCACAGCCTGGCCCTTGTTTCAACAGGAATGCCTTGATCACCCCTGAGCATTCCCAGGGCTTCTGGACATGGATGAACATAGATGCCTGCCTGACTTGTGTTCTGCTGTTTGGACAAGTACACAGCACTAACAATGCAGTTTTAACTGTCCATAATTTAAGAACTGAGGTGTTCAGAGAATACCAAACTCCCCACTGCAGTGCAAGGAGGGTGAGTGTCAAATCAGGCAAGAGGCTCTGAAGCTGACTGCTGTCCACAACCTTTCATCAGTGCAGCTCTCTGAGCCCCAGTGCAGACCATTTCCTGAGTTTTTCCCTGACACACTCTTCACCAGCAATCAGGCTGACGTAGTGAGCTGAAGTCTCCAGCCTCAGATGCATTTTCCAGTTGTGCCAAATAACCCTTTCTAACTACAGTGGCAGCAAATTCCCCAAAAGAGGCAGTGCTGCTCCAAAAATTTGCAGGTTAAAGTGCTGCATATCACAGTGCTCTTCAGAGCAAATTTGGTCCTGTTGTTTGAAGTCTGAGCAGTACCTGGGACAGCTGGATTTGCCCCACCAAGAAGAGATAACCAGCACTACCAGCCAGTAAGCCATGAACCAGGTCCCTACTGGTTCAACACTGGGAGCTCTGGGCACCCTTCTGCCAGGCATCAGCTTGAGCAGAATGTCTCACCACAACAGAGAAGGTGAATGTGATTTTTTTCCTCCTTTAACTTCTGTTTGACAGAGCAGCAGGAAGCCACAGAGAGAGGGATCCTCTGGATTACATATCCACTTACAAGTGATGTCCTAACTGCTGCCTGTCAGCTTTAAAGATGCTTTTAAGCCACTAGAAATGTTCACCAAATGGGGCTGAGATGATACTGTGGGCACAGAGTAACAGATGCTCTTCACAGATTTTAAATTAATAAAACAAAACCCAAATGACTACAAATACAGATTTATAAAATATTTACCTGAGAAAAAGTTGGCTAAAAAGTACAAATTTATATTCACAGGTACTCTGACTTAAATTAAAAACAATAATTTTTTTTGTGTTTAATACTGTGTTTTCATCAGTGAAAGCCCAGGAGCCTGACAGAGATTACAGAGATTACTGAATAGCTGTGTCTTTAATGGTTATTTCCACTAAAAAAGGGAGTGATTTCCAATCTTCTAGGAGAACACATTTGCTCCAAGGACAACAACCTAACTAAAGAAAACAGAGGCATATGGGTTTACTCTGTCTTTCCATGTGTGGAATTCTCAGGGCTGAATACAAAAGTGGTCGCATTTTGCAGCAGCTACATGAGCTTGGGAAGACCAGGGACGACCTCTCCTGGTGTCAGCGCTGAATTCAAAGTCTGTCTTGTCCATGGGAAGAGCAGCTCTGCTGCTGCAGGTGGCTTTGTACCTCACTGCTACTCCAGACATTTACAGACAATTGAAAAGGAGAAAGCAAAGAGAAAGCTGTGTGCCAAACAAGTCTGTGGCTGCCACAAATACACCACTGGAAACACAAGTACACTGCTAACACTACATGTTCAAATCCATTG